ATAAATAATGTAATATATTTTTAAAAAATAATTTGTTTAATTTTTTTTTTTTGACTTATCACATGATATTTTAAATATTTTATAACTAACTAAAAAACTATAATTTTTGTACCAACATATTATATAACTTTTTTTTTAAATAAGAACCTCTGTCTAAAATAAAATAAAAAATAATCGTTTGAAGAAGGGCCCAAAAAATTCTAAGGTCTGATTACATAGTGATTTAATTTTTATCCTATGTTTTAGAATTTTACTATTTTAGCTGATTTGAAGATTCTTGATTCTGGCTTTTAAAAAATGATTTTATTCTAAGTGAATTTCATATGTTTTTTTTATGTCATTTAAAACATATTTATTATTTTAATTTGTAAGATTTTAATATAGTATATAGTATAAACTTTTATATATGTTTTATTTATTATTTATCTTGTTGATCTATACTCTTGATATTAATGTAACAAGACTCTCCAAAAAAATTGGAATGCCCTTGATTAAACTTTGAATGAAAGTTAACTGTTTATCAAGTGTTTTTTATTAACCTTTGAATAGATAATCAGTTATTATTTTCTTCTTGTCCTTATATACCATGTTTAAAAATAATAAGGGGTTGTTTGTTTATCTCTTAATAATTCTATTAAGAGATAGTTTTTTAATCGTTAAGAGGTGAATCTTGTTTGGCAAAAAAAAGTCTGTCTCTTAATGGTTCTAGAACCTTCTGAATGATTTTGTATCATGGGTCTCTCTTAAACATTCAGTAACCTAATTTCATTATGAATAATTACCAAATAATTATATTTCATTTTGCATTATATTATAAGAGCATCTTAATCATTCTGATCACTTAATTATTCTGTACCAAACCATTCAACATCAAACAACCCCTAAGCTATCAAATGCAGTAAATACCAAAGGACACTAATAAATGGTTGAAAAATAAATCATTCTTTATAAGTAGTAAACAACAAATACAATGTATTAACCACAAGGGTAGTGTCTGATTAGTTTGAGCTTGACTTCAAAGGTCAAAAGTATCAGAAGGTCTCAGGTTCAAATCCAAGGAGGAATAAAAATACCCTTGTGGCCACAGAGGTTCAAATGCGGTGACTCCGGGCTATCTACAAAGCAGGTGGTCATCCTAGAATTAGTCAGCTAGCATAGCGAGCTGGATATCCATGTTAATTTAAAAAAAAAAAGCAATGTATTAATAACTATTATGTTTGTAGTTCATTGCTAAACATCGTTGATCGAAGTAAGTATCAATATGGTAATTACTCACTCGACAAAATAACTGATTCGCTTTTTTAATCTGTTAAAAAATAAAAACGATTTAATAAATAACATCATCTTTTACTGAATATAAAGTATTTAGTTGTAATACAATTTAAACTTAATTTATAAATCACATTTCACTTTCCCAAACCACCAATTTTGAAATGATGGAATTTTTTTAACCATTTACAAAAACTATACATTTATATGCTTTTTGGGAACTTTTTTATGGAAAAAAGCCCGAGGTCCATTTTTGACTTGTCATATTTTAGGTAGACATAAATATTTTAATTCAATTTTTAAAAATTCATTCTAATAAATCAATGTTTAAGAAAATAAATTGAAGGGGTGTTTAGGATTGCTTCTAAAAACAACTTATTAACTTATTTCGGTGTGGCACCGGTAATAAACAATTTTAATTGTTTGGATAAACAACTTATACCGGTGTTGACGTCAAATAAAACAAATGAAATGTTAAAAAAAAAAGACATTAGAAGTTGAACCGAACCCGATAAAAATGTAGCCTAATGGAAATTACGAGATGAGAGTGAGGTGTTGCAGCCCCACGATCCATTGCTCCCGTTTCAGAGACGATAAAGAGTCGTCTTGAGATCTCGATACTAGTAGTGTCGAGATCTCGAGATCCATTCGAAGACTCGAACTCTTTTTTAAGCAAATAAGTAACTTTTTCCGACAACAAACTTTTTACATGATTGTTTTTATGATTTCATTTTTTTTTTTCAAATTTATTGTTAAAAATTATGTTTTTATAACATATAGGGATGAGACTCGAGAACCATATTTCTGAATAGAACCGGACTCAGACCGTATGCATGTAATCGGTTCGGTTATCGCTTCCAATTTTACAACAAATTCGAGCACCTCAAAAAATCAGCCCTATCACCATCGAAAAAATCGAACAAAACGAAAAAGAAAAAGGGGAACAGAATACCAAACATTAAGTAGTTTGCGATTGGTTTTGATACACATTTCAAACATTATGAATATTATGAACTTCTGATTGTTTCTTAACCCACTTTCATATTTCAGTCCTAASTGATCCCAGTACYRATTTTCCCRTCCCAAAAYCGAAACCGAACCGGTACCCAACTTGTAMATACARTTCRGTTTTCGGTCCTAATTTTGAGTCCCATAAAAAATCAGTACCAACCAGTTCGACCGRTACTGATCTCATCCCTAATAATATGTTTCTTTATGGTAATTTAACATAATTAATTTGCAAGTAAAATAATAAATAAAAATAATAATAAATAAAAATGGTTAAGTGATGAAAACGAATTTCATTGATGTAACCGTTTAAAATCATATACACGAGAAACATGGGTATGATCATATTCATAGCTCCCTCATGCCTTTCCTTCATTTGGCCTTACAACTACATCCTTACGTTAACCGGAATAAAAAACCGATGCTTCTCTACCGTCAGTATTTTTTTAAATCGGAATTCAAGCCTAAACAACATGTTACGTGATATCTGAATAAGACGGTTTAATTTTTAAACTTACTGAAAAAATTAAATCATCTTACAGTTGTCAGATACTACGTAACATGCACTACCAAACAGGGGAATTTTTTCGGCGGCCATATCTGCCGGAAATGCATATTACCGGCAGATATGGTTGCCGGAAAAGTTGGCGCCGGTAATTAGTTTACCGGTGGATGCTTTATTTTACCGGCGGATTCCGAAAGCCGGAAACAGTTCGCCGGTTTAATTAAAAAAAATCTTGATTTAATCAATTAAATTTAAGGAATTTTTTTTAAATTTAAATAATTCGACGGTTTAATTAAGAAATCTTTGATTTAACAATTTGCAACTTAGATAAGACGATTTAATTTTTGAATTTATTAAAAAGACTCTGTTTTTAATACTACTTATATTTAATACGATAAAATGTATGTTCTAAGATGTTTTTTTTTTTTTCAATTTATTTCCAATTAATTATGTTAATTTCGTAATTTTATTTTATATAAAACGGTCTAAAAACCCTTTTATTTTTAATACTATTTATATTTAATATGATAAAAAGTATTAGTTATTTGTTTAGATTGTGTGAATATTCTTCATCATGTCATTTTAGATCATTTTACATTGTTATTATCAACTGATTTTACTAACCATAAATTCATGATTAGTTTATCAGCTAACTTATCAGATAACAACAACTAATCTATACTATATTATAAAGCATTTGATAAAAACTCTTAAAAACCATTTTTTATGCATAAAGTACTGTTTATTGATGCATATTACTTAAAATTCAAGATTACAAGTAAATTGTGCGTAAGTATAATTTATTAAAGCTTCATGTTTGAATTCGTGTAACTAACTACAGATAAACATAATCAAATATTTTAAATATAAAAAATCTAAAATATAATTAGGATAATCATTGAGTTCTAACAAAATACTTAATAATGATTATCTTTATAAAAAAATTATATTATTAAACCAAAAATAAAAAAAAAATGAGTTAAAGAAATACACAAAAAATGAGAAATCTTAAATAAGTTAGTTTGATACTAATATAAAAAAAAATTCAATTTTTTTTATATATTCATATTTATATTTTATTCAAAAATAAAAATATTATCGTTTTCTCAAAATCACATAAAACCGTATTATAACATCGATTGAAACAAAAAAAACGAAACACTAAAATCAAAATATATCTCGCTGTATTGTACGAGTACCATTCTAATTAACAATAATTAGTTTTTTTAGCTAACATCAAACAACCAACATATTTTCAGTAATATACAATGATTTTAGTAACACTTATCATACTTTTCTATTCTACTTCTACCATTGTGAACATATAGGGTGTGTTTGGTGTCCTGACAGGACATGGCAGGACAGAACATGATAGAACAACTGTTCAACGTTTGATAAGATAAAATTGGACAAAACAGAACAAGTAACATGACCAATTTACCTCTGATGAGTTGTTTATTTTAATTAATTTATGTAATTTATTAAATTGTAATAGAATAATTATTTTTTGTAACAAAATATATCATTTGAAATTTTCGTCAAAACAATTAAAATGACACAAAATAAAAAGTTGATATAGTTTTCTATTTTTACTTTTATCTCTTTTTTACATTATCTTTTATTATTAATATATAATAAATTACATAAATTAATAAAAATATAGAAACCCTATAAAAACAATATTTTGAGGACAATAAAATGAAAGTTTAAGAAACATAAAATACAATAAATAAAATTTAAAGAATGAATAAAATGTTAAAAAAAACCTATTTGATGTTTTAGAAGAGAATTAAGTTTTATTTTGATGTTATATTGATAAAACATAAGTTTGTTCCACCTTATTCCACCCTGTTCTATGGGTAGGGCTGGAACAGGCCTATTCCACTTTGTTTCACTCTGTTTCTGTCTGTTCCACCCCGTTCTATAGGTAGGGGTGGAACAGGCTTGTTCCACTCTGTTGCTGTCTCTGTTTCACATAAAATTAATGCCAAACATGGGACATGGATCTCTGTCATGTTTTGTCATGTTCTTGTCCAATGTACAATACACACCCATATAGTACAATTTTAGCTAAGGGTAAAAGCGTCTTTTTACACACACTTCCAATAAACTTAACCCATGGAAGTAAAGATTATTGACATAGTTGTGGTGGTACATATGCTGTGGCTCACCTTCCTCCAATATTTAAACACATCAGCACCTCAAGAAAAACCATCCACCATTCATTCATTCATATCATCCATTCCATCCCACACTCATTCAGCAGCTACTCTCTCTCTCTCTCACACACACAAACACACAGTAGGCTTAAGAAGATAAGGGTAGAGAGAGAGAAAGCTTGATCATATCTATCAATGGCAGGAACTGGAGTTTTTGAAGACATAATTGAAGGAGATGTGTTCAAATACTACACTGATGGAGAATGGAAGAAATCTGCTTCTGGCAAATCTGTTGCCATTATTAACCCCACCACCAGAACCACTCAGTACAAGGTTCAAGGTAACTATATATATATATATATTCTCGTACTCATATCAACTTATTGTAACATCTTTGAGTTTGTTTAAAATTCGAATCCATATATTTACTGGTTGATCCGTAAACGATTATGGATATATCGTATCAATCAGGGAGATTAAATTTATGCGGAAGTGAAAGTTAAGAATTGAAATGAACGTTACGGTGATCGTTGATCCGTGAATTATCGTCTATGTTTTTAAGATACCGTTAAGTTTGAATGATCGGGGACCGTACTTGGTAGTTACTAGTAAGAAAGTAAAAACACTTGGATGGTTTGTGACACTACTGAAAAATGGGGTTTTTCCGACAGCAATATCCGTCATAAAAAATGACGGATTTGTGACGGTATTAAGTAAGTAAAAAATCCGTCGGGAAAGTTATCGAAATAAAATTTTATTTTTTTAAAAAGTTTCAGTGACGGAAGTCAACAAAAAGTTGACTTTTTTTTTTACTATTTTGGGATCCGTCACTGAATTTTCTGACGGAATTTTCGTTAGAAAAATCCGTTGATGATACCATTTTTTTAGTAGTGTGAGAAATGGTATATATCCTTGATTCCAAACCAAGGATATAAAAACAAGGGGTTTTATTAATAAACTCAAAAAAAAAAAAAAAAGGGCTTATGGTTGCCAAATTTGGTCTTAATATTATCCACTCGAAAGTAGGGTCTACAGGTAGAACGTATCTGTCCCAAAATAGTGGATCCGGATTATATGATGTTTTCAAGGCTAGAGTAGTTAGTTGATGAGCGTTTTTGTTTGTCAGCATGTACACAAGAAGAGGTGAACAAGGTGATGGAATCGGCGAAAATTGCTCAAAAGCAATGGGCCAAAACACCGCTTTGGAAGCGAGCCGAGCTTCTTCACAAGGCGGCCGCTATTTTGAAAGAGCATAAGGCTCCCATCGCCGAGTGCCTAGTTAAGGAGATCGCAAAACCAGCCAAGGACTCGGTCACTGAGGTACAACGTGTTAATATACCAAAGTATCAACCCGACCAACCCGACGACCAACCCGTATGGGTTGGGTTGCACTTTGGTTTGGGTTGGGTTATGTTAAGATTTTTCAAACCGCAAGCATTGGGTTGGGTTATTCAAATGTCTTCAACCAGATCAACCCAACCCACGACCACCCCTAAATCTTGAAAACCTTAATCTTATAATGACTTGTACTATACGTATTAAAAGTTGTACATTGTTACAACAGGTCGTTCGATCAGGCGATCTCATTTCGTATTGTGCCGAAGAAGGGGTTAGGATTCTAGGAGAAGGCAAGTTCTTGGTTTCTGATAGTTTTCCAGGCAATGAGAGGACTAAATACTGCCTCTCTTCAAAGGTACACTACAATTTTCATCAAGAACTTGCAAAAAGATTCATGGGTTTGATCCAAAATGCCGTTTTGGATTCGGGTTTTGATCGGTTTTCTGAACGATAACAGATTCCGCTCGGAGTTGTCTTGGCCATACCCCCCTTCAACTATCCCGTCAACCTTGCCGTCTCAAAAATCGGCCCTGCACTTATCGCCGGAAATTCTCTAGTTCTCAAGCCTCCAACTCAGGTGTGTTTCCGATCTGAATTACACACGAATTCGATGTCTAGAAATAGTTTTCAAGTTTTTTGACCCTTTTTTTCCGAATCTGTTTTCAGGGTGCAGTGGCTTGCCTTCATATGGTGCAATGCTTTCACTTGGCTGGCTTTCCTAAGGGCCTAATCAGCTGTGTCACCGGAAAAGGGTCGGAGATCGGAGATTTTCTAACTATGCATCCCGGAGTTAACTGTATTAGGTAGTCGAAAACACAGTTTTCGATCGATTTTTATGTTAATGCTTGAAAATTTGGGTTATTTTAAAGGTTTCTATCTATTTCTTTCCAGCTTCACCGGCGGTGACACCGGAGTTGCGATCTCCAAGAAAGCCGGCATGGTGCCGCTTCAGATGGAGCTCGGAGGAAAAGACGCTTGTATCGTCCTCGAGGATGCCGATCTCGATTTGGTGGCGGCAAATATCATCAAAGGAGGTTTTTCTTATAGGTATCTTAAACCAGAAAATACAAGTAATGATTACGTACAAGCTATACCGTATAAAGCAGTAAATGTATTACAATATCGTATTATTTTATATATCTAGAAATCGGGGTATATTTAAGTTCCCAAGAAATCCTTTGTACTAGGGAACTCTTTTAGCAACGTCAGTACACCTACTGACGTTGCTAACTTTTTTGGCATTTGTATGGGATGGTAAAACTAATTAATGAAACCTATTACAGTGGCCAGAGATGCACTGCGGTTAAGGTTGTTTTGGTGATGGAGTCGGTTGCGGATGCGCTAGTCGAAAAAGTGAACGCCAAGGTAGCAAAGCTAAAGGTGGGCCCACCTGAGGACAATTGTGACATTACTCCAGTTGTATCTGAGTCGTCAGCGAATTTTATCGAGGGGTTGGCTAAGGATGCGAAGGCAAAAGGAGCGACGTTTTGCCAGGAGTACAAGCGCGAGGGCAATCTCGTTTGGCCATTGTTGCTTGACAACGTCCGACCCGACATGAGAATCGCATGGGAGGAACCGTTCGGCCCCATCGTACCCGTTATCAGGATCAACTCCATCGAAGAAGGGATCCACCATTGCAATGCCAGCAATTTCGGCCTCCAGGTATATAAAAAAACATTACACATCTGAAATCATCATGCATTAAGGACTTGTACAATATAAGTCCTTAATGATGAGTATGAAGTCATGCATAAATGACTTGTACCATACATGTCATTTGCACATATCTATACTATTAGTAAATTAATTAACTAATTAGAGGGGTATAAAGTGTAAATTAACCAACCTATTTTTTTTAATTATAATTTTAAATTTACACTTTATACCCCTATAATTAGTTAATTAATTTAATTTACGTCATTTACTTTTCAATATTTCATTTTAAACATTTATCAAATTAACATACATAATCGTATATCAATTAAAAAATATTTAAAAAATACATTTTTATTTTATCAAGTTACACCATTATAATTGTCTCGTTAATACCTTCGAAATGAGTCCAATATTGAATAGTTTTTTACTTAATTATATTATTATATATTATATATATTGTGAAAACATATTTTTAATATTTACGATTTATACTTTTATAGTTATTTATTTATATATATACTATATATTTTGGGGTTACGCTGTCCAAATTGCACTGTATAATATATTCTGAATTAATATGTTCTTGGGTTTTTTTGAAATATATATATATACATGTATTAATTCAACCTTAATCTGAGTTTCTGGACAAGAAAGAGGGTAAACAGTTCAAATTTCATTCTCCCATCTTTTTTTGTCATTTCATGGCTTATGATATACCAAATTTGTAGTTTTCTTTATTGGTTTTGAGTGTTTATCTTAAAACTCACGTTTCTTGGTTCTTTGCTCTTGGTGGTGGAGTCGTTTAAATATGTTGTATTTTAAAAATATTGGATTTTAAACTGTTATACAATTTTTTTCATCAATAGTCTGTAATTAGGACCATAACTCTTATTTATTCAAATTGTATTAATATGTAAAGACCAAGTGTAACATATATCATCGTTAAATCTTATCTTATAAAACCAGTGGAACTTCAAAATCGTTAAAATTCATGGCTCCCTCTGTATTGCGCGGGTACACAACTAGTTTTATAACATTTAAAGTCTAATCCCACCCGACATCATGCATCAAGGAATTGTACTGTACAAGTCCATGATGTATGCCGAATTTCTGATTCTAGAAACAACCTTGATTGTTAACGCACCTACGGATTGTGACCAATGATAGGGATGTGTCTTCACTAAGGACATAAACAAAGCGATCTTGATTAGTGACGCAATGGAAACTGGAACTGTCCAGATTAACTCCGCACCTGCTCGTGGCCCTGATCATTTCCCTTTTCAGGTGAACTTTTACTAACAATACATTCTCATTTAATTGCTTAATTAATCATCACTGATATAAATATATTGAATATCGATAAATTAACAGGGTTTGAAGGATAGTGGCATCGGATCCCAAGGAATCACAAACAGTATCAATATGATGACGAAAATCAAGAGTACTGTGATCAACTTACCAACCCCAAGTTACACCATGGGCTAGTAGTACTGTATGCATCTAAGGTGTTTGACGAAATGAATAAGGAAAAACACTGCTAGTATATATTAAGGCTTCTTTGGTCTTGATATATGGTCAAATAATGTTTAGTACTGCTGAAAATGGTGAATGGTACTTTATGCATTAATGAGTTGTACTTTTTCAATAGAATGAATGATTTTTGTAGATGCAAGTGTTGTTGACGACATAAATCAACGAGCGTTTGGAGTTTGTTATGATTTTTTTATCTGTTTTTATGCAACGTTTTAAAATCAAGATAACAAAACCACAAGGATGGTGTCTGGTTAGTTTGAGTTTGGCTCCAAAGGTCAAAAAGCACCAAGAGGTTCCAGGTTCAAATCCAAGTAGGAAAAAAAAATTCTCTTGTGGCCACGGAGGTTCAAATGTGGTGACTCCGGACCATCTGCAAAGCAGGTTATCGTCCTGGGATTAGTCAGCTCGTATAGCGGGTTGAATATCTAGGTAAAAAATAAAGACAACAAGGCCTTTAGGTTGAATAATAGGGAGATCAAGTCATCGGGTTAAACCAGATCTACAAAATTTCGGTTTGCTTAAGGAAGTTATCATCAGTTTGATTGTGCGGAATTCAAACATAAAATCTTTATATTATTTTAAGTAATTCTTTTTTATTGTGTTAAAAAAAATTATGAAGTAAATGAAAAGAAATGGATGGAATCAAATGATAACCTCAGATAATTTAATAAAATTACAAAACTACTTATCAATTTAATTCTGTCAAAACAAATATAGAAGGTATTTTGGTATCTGGCCGGACCGGGCTAGTCGCATATCAGTCCCTTCAAAATCGGGTTGGCCACTGGTTCATGTTCCGAGCAAAAAAACCTAGTCCCGGTTCTAAATCTTATACTGAGCCTGGCCCGACTTTCAAAATGAAATTGAGAATATTCTTAGACAAAATCATGTTTCTTGTATTATGATTTTTTAAATTTAGCATTAAAATTCATTTTAAATAATACAGTTACTAAATAAAATATTAAAAAACCCTGAAATTTTTTATACATTTGGTCCTATACAATATAGTGATGGCCAAATCGTTCCGGCCCGGCCTAGGACCGTCGGAGGACTGGGACCGGCAAAGGACCGGCCTGGCCCGGGACTGGTAAGGATCAGTTATGAGACTGAAAACCGGGACTGGTTAGGGTTTTTGGTAGTTTCATGGGATCGGCTATGGGCCGGCTCGGCCCAAAAATTTAAATAATTTTATAAATAAATGTATTTTCAAATAATTTTATAGTTTATTTTTATAAGACAATGTAATTTTAGTTATATTAAAATACATTTTTAAAGTGTATTTGAGTGACCCAATTGTAAATTTTATAATGTATTAAAAATATATATCATTAAAAAATTAAAAAAATCTTGTCTTTTAATGCCGGGATGGGGACCAGCTGCCCATAACCCGTTACGTCGAGGCCGGTTATGAGAAAGCTCAGGACCGATTAGGCCTGGCCCGGGACCGGTTTTTGGCCATCACTACTATATATAACCAGTCCGACCTTAAGAAATGCATACAAATTGTAATGGCTTCGTGCCGTTCGGGCCATAACCAATCCCTACCAGTGTCGTAAATTTCTGGGCCAGGCCCAAATGAGTCATCTCAAGTTTAGGGGAGACAAACTCGTTAAAATGTAAAATGAGCATAAAAGCCCAATAGCTTCTCCATTGACCCAATGCTAAAACCTTCCACAAAGCCCAAATCAATATTTTTGTTCTAAGTCTATTTTTTCACTTTTAATTAACTAGAAGAGTATTCGTGTAATGCAGTGAAATACATCTTGATTTTAATATTTTATTTGATTCTTTATTTCAGTCGATGTTATAATATGGTCTTATGTGATTTTGAAAAAGCGATGATTTTTTATTTTTGAATAAAATATAAATTTGAAGATATCATAAAATTTTGACAAAAATATATCGATATTAATATCAAATTAACTATTTAAAATTCCTATTTTTTGTATAATTTTTTAATTCAGTTTTTTTATTATAATTTAATTTAGATTCAATAACGAAGTAATATTTATTTTGTTTAATAATATAATTTTTTTATAAAGATAATAATTGATTATTTTGTTAAAACTCGACAATTATTTTAATCATATTTTAGATTTTTTATATTTTAGAATAAGATGTTTATTCTCTATTTGATTATGTTTATCCACAGTTAGTTACACAAATTCAAACATGGAGCTTTAATAAGTTTTATTTATGCATAATTTACTTGTAATCTTGAATTTTAAGCAATATGCATCAATATACAATATTTTATGCATTAAAAATAGTTTTTAATAGTTTTTATCAAATGCATTATAATATAGTATAGATTGGATGCTTATTTTAATATATATTATTTTCTTTCAATTATAAACTAACTAGAAGAGTACTCGCGCAATGCAGCGAGATACATCGTGTTTTTAATATTTCATTTTATTCTTTATCTCAGTTGATGTTATAATATGACTTTATGTGATTTTGAGAAAGCGATGATGTTTTTATTTTTGAATAAAATATATGTTTGACGATATCATAAAAATTTGACAAAAATATATCGATA